GCCCTTCTCTGGACACGCTCCAGCACCTCCATGTCCTTCTTGGAGTGAGGGGCCCAAAACTGAACCCAGCACTCGAGGTGCTGCCTCACCAGTGCCCAGTACAGGGGTAACTCACAGTTTCCTTTTGCTCTGTTAACAGCAAAGAGAGAAAAGTGATAGATTAATTGAAAATGGAGATCCACCATGGGGAGATACAGCCTGAGCTTGATTTCAGGAAGGTCTACCTGGCATTGACCCTTATTTTTAAGGACTTATGGCTCCAAAAGAGCTCATCACAGCCTGTCACGTAGCTCAGCACCATCTCTGCATCCCACCACACTCTTCCTCCCTGGGGGCCTACAAGAAATCTGGGGAAGGACTTTTCATGAGGGCAGTTAATGACAAAACAAGGGGAAATGGGTTTAATCTGAAAGAGGGGAGGTTTAGATTAGATATTAGGAAGAATTTCTTCACTGTGAGGGTGGTGAGACACTGGAACAGGTTGCCCAAGGAAGCTGTGGATGCGCCCTCCCTGGAAGTGTTGAAGGCCAGGTTGGATGAGGCTTTGAGCAACCTGGTCTAGTGGAAGGTGTCCCTGCTGCTGGCAGGGGGGTTGGAACTGGATGATCTTTAAGGTCCCTTCCCACCCAAACCATTCTCTGATTCTATGAACACAAGCCAGGAGGCTGATGTCCTCAACTCTGCAGCATCAAAGGCAGATACTGTTTCCTGCCAAAAAAAAAAATCAGGCACAAAGGGGAAAAGAGGCAGGAAAATAATCCACGTCCCCTCAGAGCTGCCAAAATACCTCTCTGGGAACGCAAAATATCTTTCTTTAATGGCTCTGCCTTTGCTTTTAAAGAACACCTGTAAAACCAAAACACCGGGAAAAAAAACCCCAAAAGATGCTGAAACCGAAACCACGCACCCAGCATCACCCTGAAGGAGGTGTTTCAGGTTCAACCACTGACCCAAGAAGGTCTTTCTTCTCTCAGTTATGCCTTGGCAGGAGCCTCTGCCAGCAAGAGGCAGCATGCCCTGACTCACGGGTGTAAAATTGCCTCAAATTGTGGTGGGGAGGGAGGAGGCCACAAATACCTTCAGCTATGGAGAAAATGAGAGTGGTGAGCGCTGGTTCCTGGGCCACTGGGCTCTGAACTGCAGTTGTGGGGGATATGTAGGGGAAGGATTTTTCATCCCCTGCTCTCTTGTGCTGGGTTGGACCTGAAATGCAGCTGTGAGGGAAATGAAGGTCTCTTTGTAGAAGGTCCAAGAAGGTGAAGCCCAAGTCTTTATTCCTTCTTGCTTGCAGTAAATCCCTCCAAAATCACTTAGTTTGACAGGACAGTACTACTGGAGCAGTTTGATGTATCTAAGGTGACTGTGGTTGCCTTCAGGCTGCTGGATGGAGGCATCAAAGCATGCCAGCCTGACCACATCATGCCAGGCAGGGAAACGGAGCCCCAAAGCATGAGATGGCTGGTGGCA